AAATCGCAAAAATTCCTGAAAATAGCAAAAATTCCTGAAAATTGCAAAAATCGCAAAAATGACTGAAAATTGCAAAAATCGCAAAAATTACTGAAAATTGCAAAAATTGCAAAAATTCCTGAAAAAATCGCAAAAATGACTGAAAATTGCAAAAATCGCAAAAATTCCTGAAAATTGCAAAAATCGCAAAAATGACTGAAAATTGCAAAAATCGCAAAAATTCCTGAAAATAGCAAAAATTCCTGAAAATTGCAAAAATCGCAAAAATGACTGAAAATTGCAAAAATCGCAAAAATTACTGAAAATTGCAAAAATTGCAAAAATTCCTGAAAAAATCGCAAAAATGACTGAAAATTACAAAAATCGCAAAATTCCTGAAAATTGCAAAAATCGCAAAAATTCCTGAAAATTGCAAAAATCGCAAAAATGACTGAAAATTGCAAAAATCGCAAAATTGCAAAAATCGCAAAAATGACTGAAAATTGCAAAAATCGCAAAAATGACTGAAAATTGCAAAAATCGCAAAAATTCCTGAAAATAGCAAAAATTACAAAAATTCCTGAAAATTGCAAAAATCGCAAAAATGACTGAAAATTGCAAAAATCGCAAAAATGCCTGAAAATTGCAAAAATCGCAAAAATGCCTGAAAATTGCAAAAATCGCAAAAATGACTGAAAATTGCAAAAATCGCAAAAATGACTGAAAATTGCAAAAATCGCAAAAATGACTGAAAATTGCAAAAATCGCAAAAATTCCTGAAAATTGCAAAAATCGCAAAAATGCCCGAAAATTGCAAAAAGTGTAAAAATGCCAGAAAATCGCAAAAATCGCAAAAATTCCTGAAATTGCAAAAATCGCGAAAATGATGGAAAATTGCAAAAATCGCAAAAATTCCTGAAAATTGCAAAAATCGCAAAAATTCCTGAAAATTGCAAGAATCGCAAAAATGACTGAAAATTGCAAAAATCGCAAAAATTCCTGAAAATTGCAAAAATTCCTGAAAATAGCAAAAATTCCTGAAAAATGCAAAAATCGCAAAAATGACTGAAAATTGCAAAAATCGCAAAAATTCCTGAAAATTGCAAAAATCGCAAAAAAAGACTGAAAATTGCAAAAATCGCAAAAATGACTGAAAATTGCAAAAATCGCAAAGATGACTGAAAATTGCAAAAATCGCAAAAATTCCTGAAAATTGCAAAAATCGCAAAAAATGACTGAAAATTGCAAAAATCGCAAAAATTCCTGAAAATTGCAAAAATCGCAAAAATTCCTGAAAATTGCAAAAATCGCAAAAATGACTGAAAATTGCAAAAATCGCAAAAATTACTGAAAATTGCAAAAATCGCAAAAATTCCTGAAAATTCCAAAAATCGCAAAAATGACTGAAAATTGCAAAAATCGCAAAAATGACTGAAAATTGCAAAAATCGCAAAAATTCCTGAAAATTGCAAAAATCGCAAAAATTCCTGAAAATTGCAAAAATCGCAAAAATGACTGAAAATTGCAAAAATCGCAAAAATTCCTGAAAATTGCAAAAATCGCAAAAATTCCTGAAAATTGCAAAAATCGCAAAAATGACTGAAAATTGCAAAAATCGCAAAAATTACTGAAAATTGCAAAAATCGCAAAAATTCCTGAAAATTGCAAAAATCGCAAAAATGACTGAAAATTGCAAAAATCGCAAAAATGACTGAAAATTGCAAAAATCGCAAAAATTCCTGAAAATTGCAAAAATCGCAAAAATTCCTGAAAATTGCAAAAATCGCAAAAATGACTGAAAATTGCAAAATCGCAAAAATTCCTGAAAATTGCAAAAATCGCAAAAATTCCTGAAAATTGCAAAAATCGCAAAAATGACTGAAAATTGCAAAAATCGCAAAAATGACTGAAAATTGCAAAAATCGCAAAAATGACTGAAAATTGCAAAAATCGCAAAAATTCCTGAAAATGGCAAAACTCGCAAAAACTCCTGAAAATAGCAAAAATTCCTGAAAATTGCAAAAATCGCAAAAATTCCTGAAAATTGCAAAAATTCCTGAAAATAGCAAAAATTCCTGAAAATTGCAAAAATCGCAAAAATGACTGAAAATTGCAAAAATCGCAAAAATTCCTGAAAATTGCAAAAATCGCAAAAAAAGACTGAAAATTGCAAAAATCGCAAAAATGACTGAAAATTGCAAAAATCGCAAAGATGACTGAAAATTGCAAAAATCGCAAAAATTCCTGAAAATTGCAAAAATCGCAAAAATTCCTGAAAATTGCAAGAATCGCAAAAATGACTGAAAATTGCAAAAATCGCAAAAATTCCTGAAAATTCCAAAAATCGCAAAAATGACTGAAAATTGCAAAAATCGCAAAAATTCCTGAAAATTGCAAAAATCGCAAAAATGACTGAAAATTGCAAAAATCGCAAAAATTACTGAAAATTGCAAAAATTCCTGAAAATTGCAAAAATCGCAAAAATGACTGAAAATTGCAAAAATCGCAAAAATGACTGAAAATTGCAAAAATCGCAAAAATTCCTGAAAATTGCAAAAATTCCTGAAAATAGCAAAAATTCCTGAAAATTGCAAAAATCGCAAAAATGACTGAAAATTGCAAAAATCGCAAAAAATTCCTGAAAATTGCAAAAATCGCAAAAAAAGACTGAAAATTGCAAAAATCGCAAAAATGACTGAAAATTGCAAAAATCGCAAAGATGACTGAAAATTGCAAAAATCGCAAAAATTCCTGAAAATTGCAAAAATCGCAAAAATGACTGAAAATTGCAAAAATCGCAAAAATTCCTGAAAATTGCAAAAATCGCAAAAATTCCTGAAAATTGCAAAAATCGCAAAAATGACTGAAAATTGCAAAAATCGCAAAAATTACTGAAAATTGCAAAAATCGCAAAAATTCCTGAAAATTCCAAAAATCGCAAAAATGACTGAAAATTGCAAAAATCGCAAAAATGACTGAAAATTGCAAAAATCGCAAAAATTCCTGAAAATTGCAAAAATCGCAAAAATTCCTGAAAATTGCAAAAATCGCAAAAATGACTGAAAATTGCAAAAAATCGCAAAAATTCCTGAAAATTGCAAAAATCGCAAAATTCCTGAAAATTGCAAAAATCGCAAAAATTCCTGAAAATTGCAAAAATCGCAAAAATGACTGAAAATTGCAAAAATCGCAAAAATGACTGAAAATTGCAAAAAATCGCAAAAATGACTGAAAATTGCAAAAATCGCAAAAATTCCTGAAAATGGCAAAAATCGCAAAAATTCCTGAAAATAGCAAAAATTCCTGAAAATTGCAAAAATCGCAAAAATGACTGAAAATTGCAAAAATTCCTGAAAATAGCAAAAATTCCTGAAAATTGCAAAAATCGCAAAAATGACTGAAAATTGCAAAAATCGCAAAAATTCCTGAAAATTGCAAAAATCGCAAAAAAAGACTGAAAATTGCAAAAATCGCAAAATGACTGAAAATTGCAAAAATCGCAAAGATGACTGAAAATTGCAAAAATCGCAAAAATTCCTGAAAATTGCAAAAATCGCAAAAATTCCTGAAAATTGCAAGAATCGCAAAAATGACTGAAAATTGCAAAAATCGCAAAAATTCCTGAAAATTCCAAAAATCGCAAAAATGACTGAAAATTGCAAAAATCGCAAAAATTCCTGAAAATTGCAAAAATCGCAAAAATGACTGAAAATTGCAAAAATCGCAAAAATTACTGAAAATTGCAAAAATCGCAAAAATTCCTGAAAATTGCAAAAATCGCAAAAATGACTGAAAATTGCAAAAATCGCAAAAATGACTGAAAATTGCAAAAATCGCAAAAATTCCTGAAAATTGCAAAAATCGCAAAAATTCCTGAAAATTGCAAAAATCGCAAAAATGACTGAAAATTGCAAAAATCGCAAAAATTCCTGAAAATTGCAAAAATCGCAAAAATTCCTGAAAATTGCAAAAATCGCAAAAATGACTGAAAATTGCAAAAATCGCAAAAATGACTGAAAATTGCAAAAATCGCAAAAATGACTGAAAATTGCAAAAATCGCAAAAATTCCTGAAAATGGCAAAACTCGCAAAAACTCCTGAAAATAGCAAAAATTCCTGAAAATTGCAAAAATTGCAAAAATGACTGAAAATTGCAAAAATCGCAAAAATTCCTGAAAATTGCAAAAATTGCAAAAATTCCTGAAAATTGCAAAAATCGCAAAAATGCCTGAAAATTGCAAAAATTGCAAAAATTCCTGAAAATTGCAAAAATCGCAAAAATGCCTGAAAATTGCAATCGCAATGGTTTCAGTGGATATCTGAATGTTAAAACGGAAGAATCGATGTGATAACATTTTACACCCGTGCGCATATACTATTATTTCGTGTCTGATACGGCGACCGTTTCTATTTTCACACCGGTTATTAAATTTACATACAATCAAGACTTTGGTCACTAGTAGCAATTTGGCATAATCCATTTTATATATTCCATTTGTGATTGAGCTAATTCTTTTCTTTTTCTTGAAATGGCAAAAATAATTGACTAATTTTTCATTTGATGCCAAAACATGATATTAAAAATATAAGAAATACACATTATGAAAAAAGGATTTTTCTGGAGATTTCTGTTCAGCTGTGAATCCCTATTAATCTGAAAAATATGAAATACACACTGACCTAGTTCAGCAAGAGCAAGACAACCCCCATGCCAAGCACTGTCTGTTTCCCTGGGACTGAATGTCTCCAAAATTGATCCCACCACATCATCAGCTAATTCCTTAGGTAACCTACCAGTTACTCTTCCAATACCTTTTGCTGCAGACCACCTAACAAAAATCAACACCCCTAAAGACAATTCTGATAAAAACTACCAGACCACACACATATTATGGTACTGAACTATAATAAAATTTTTTATTCAATGTAAATTTAATTCATTCATAACATTGAAAATACTACAAAGAACCTTAGGAAGAAATATTGTTGAGTTAGTATACAAGGTGTCCCTGCTGCTTCTATGACCAAAAATAGGAAGACGAGTTTTAATAAACATGAGTTGATACATTTATTCTAAGGGAGCTAGGCCCCTGAAGATGGTATTTCTCCAATGTTAGGAGAAGCCTATATGGCTTAAAATAAAATCATTCCAAAACTTGATTCAGGATTCAAACTTTTTCACGCATATTTTAAGAAAATTTAATCATGGATTTCTCCTCTTCAGAAAAAGCTCTTGTTCCATATCCATCAGATTTATCATTTTCAAGTGAAATGGATTGAAAATATTGTTATATCTCACATTTTATGCATAAGGTTGCAAATTTTCCAATCATAGTGGCTATAAAAAAATCAACAACTTTATTTTCAAGAAACAATGTCATAGAGGTGCCTGAATAAATAGGAAAATAATGATAAAAAACTACTTCAATTCTTGTGCATTTTTTTTAGTTTCACTATGATTTATTGCAATGTTGTGCATAATATGTGGGATGTAAAATATTTTTAATCAATTTTACTCAAAAATTATACAACTGATCCATATGGAGAAAAGAGCACCTTTCTTGTGTACAGATGTGGATTTCTCATAATCTGAGATCAAATTTTCAAAAAATATGCATAAAAAAAGTTTGAGCAATATTTAATGTAGTCCACCCTGCATTTAACACTCCTGAATGGAAGTTTGGAATGATTTTATTTTCACTGCATTGGGCATGGAAAGTTTAGTTCTTGTACCTAATTGCATCATTTCATCATTTGGCATTTTGGAAATGGTCAAGAAATATCATCTTCAGAATTCCCCTTTCAGGGGGCCATAACTTCCTCAGAAAACATTTATCTACTCATGTTCATTGGAACTTTACTTCCTATATTCAGTCATAGAAGTCACTGGTGAAGTTTGGCAGGCTAACTTTGGGACACCCTATATATCTAACTAATGAATGAACTCTATAAAATAACAAAATCCCAATTGCTTACCTTACAACTCCATCTAAGCACCTCAATCCTTCTATTAACTGATCAATGACATCTTCAACTTCATCTGGAACTTCAATTTCCTCATCATTTTCCACTTCCTCTTTGCATTCTTTGGGGGCACTAGCCACAGAACCATCCCCAGAACTTAAATTTGCTGCCAAGGATCTATTGCCCCTTTTGTATCTCCAGGAGGCAATTCTTGGAGGCAAAAAAGTCAGTCCTTAAAATTAATATGGAACCAATACAAAACACTGGAAATTTGTTGATGGACATACCAATTCTCTGAATGATTTTGTAGACAAGCTTTTGGATGTTGGAGCCAGAGTTTTTCCTGAATTCTGCATTGACAATCCACTCCAATAAATTCCTTGCATATGGTAACAAGTCCTCACGTTTTCCATGTTTCAGAATTGTAGCCACACAAGCTAGAGTTCCATACTTGACAAAAACATTACTGTTCTCTGAGAGACTTAGTTCTTTTACCCATTCCAGAATTGTTGAGAGGTGTTTTTCTTTGACATCATTTCTAGAAAATCAAGTGTTTGGAAAATTTGAAGAACCATCAATTTAGAAATTACCTTGTGATGAATTTGTGGGCTAAATAAGCAGCAGCATCTCTACACTTATCAGAGACAACTGCATATGTTTTGATAATAGTCAAGACCCTGTCCATAACAGTCTTTTTTTCTTCATCACTGTTATCAAAACCATCAAATCTTGACATGTGGAATGGGATGATAACAATTATAGAAAGCCACAGTAGCAGAATATAGCGTGTAGTCCATGTTTCTGGATCACTAGGGTCTTGTCTTTCCAGTAATTGTAAAACAGGTTCAAAATCACCTACCTATGAAATTTATACTAAAATAATTGTTTTTGTCAATGCAATCAACTATATTACTTCATGGGGTAGATGCCTCACAATCACTTTATATCCCCTCACATTAACAACCACAAACATGAACTTGAATGCTAGATGTTTCAACTCCATAGGACTATCATTACTTCGAACAATGACAATGAATTTCTCCAGCAACACATTTATGTGGGAATCTATCAAATGGGGCTGTTCAATGTATTGACTCAGTATGAAATTGAATTTTTCATATGCCTTTTCTATCACATTAGTTTCGGAACCAGCGATGTTTGTTAGGTTATCTATCATCCCGAAAACTTCCTCATGCTCAGCGAAGTATTCCAATGCACAGCCCAACCCAAACGGCTCCTCTTCCTTCGGTGGCTCATGATTTTGCCCGTTAACAGGCATTCTCATAACCTGATATTTTTTTCGAATTCTGAAAAAAATCAAAACGATATTTTACTTTTCTTTTCATAAGCGAAACAAAAACAAACCTGACCCTGACACGACTGACAACAGACAAGAGTAACAAGTGGCAAAAACAAGGAAATTTAGACAAATGACATGACATCTTGCATGACATGTTCGACATAATTGTGACGTTTTCACTACAGCCATCTGCTGGTTCGTATGATATTTCCTGTTCTAGATGCCGATAGATGGCAATAATATTCTGACATTATTTCGACTTGGTATTCTTTTCTGGCTTTTTTCTGGTTTGTTTCTGGTATGTATCAAATTTCAAACTTCAAATTGGGAAATATTCATTGATTTGATAATTTATTTTTCACATGAGTTTTTGACGGTAGCCACTGCCTGTTTCCTGTTTTTTTATCGTTGTGCGACAGCGACATGCGTGTTTTTGATTGTATTTTTTTCAATATTATCGGTAAAAGTGCACTTATCATGCGATGGGGTTTTTTTCGAAAATTTTTTTTGGTACTTACGTATTTTCGTCTGAGAAACACGAATTTTCATAATGAAAATGTGAACAAACCATTATTTATTAAGATATTTCACTATAAAGTTACAGATTTCACCATCTTTTTCCGCCTGTCTTCTGGATCACATTTAGAACAATTTGCCCTTCTTTTTCCATCATTGGACAATTTATAAATATCACACAATGTTGGACACATTTTTTTTATTATACGAGTCAACTAGAAATATGATTTTCTTGTGATTTATCCATGTTTAGTGAAAAGAAGGAAGAATATCATTTGAAATAATGGCGTGTGTAATGTCATTCCAAAGCAATCTATTGACATTTGACATCTCGTATTTGGATTGCATATGGATTAAATGGCCGTCATCTGGTATGCTTGCTCACTAAATAGGAAAAACTCGCCATAAAAATCATATTTCCTGTTGAATTTTCTAACTTAAAATGTGTCAGTGAAGTACATCATGAGTATATAAAGTGTCCAATGACAAAATAATAAGAGCAAGTACCTGTAAATGCATCCAACACAAGGGGGAAAAGAAGGCAAAATTTCGAACTTTTTCTTGAAATATCTCGATAAATAGTGGTTTGTTCACATTTTCATTATGAAATTCGTGTTTTTCAGACGAAAATACGTAAGTACCAAAAAAAATTTTCGAAAAAAAAACCCATCGCATGATAAGTGCACTTTTACCATATTATCTGCCAGCCGCGGTTTCCACTTGCGTTTACTGTGACTGCAACTTGCCTTGCGCATTCAGCGCAGTCACCGAAGCAGAAGCAGATATCTGTTTGGTGAATTCGGTGCGCAGCGCTGTGCCGCTGTGTGTTGTTCTTAGATCTTGTTGTCAGCTGTCGCGTATTTAGAAATGGCTCAGAAGTTGTTTTGGGTGTGTTTTTGGTAGTGAGGTGATCATTTTTGTGCTGAGACAATGTTCAGTGAATGTGTTGTCGTGCTATGCATACTTTTAGGATCACCTTTTATTGAAAGCGGTGAGTTAATTTATATCGAACAATTCTTGTATTCCAGTATTCCACTTCCCTTGTGTCATCATTGTCCCTTTTGTTTCAACATAATACCTACACTGGGTCGATCAAATGAATATTTTGTACATAGGTTTCATATTTTTATTCAAAAAGGCTCTTAAAATATTCTATAATTTCTTCGGTTCTTCCTGTCTTCGATGGTGTCATTTGAATTTACAAACAACGAACATACCTACAATGTATACCTACCTACTATACCTACAAAGAGAAGGAGCCTCGGAGAGCGCCCAGGGTATGTTCTGGGTATGGGTATAGTACCAGAATCACCAAGATCGTACCAAGAATAGGTATAAGCTCGATAATGAGATAGGTAAGTACCTGTTTCTAGTGGGATTTTCTGTTATGGTTGAGTCATATCATTATTCATTGTTGTGAAAGTATTAAAACTTGTTGAAACAAGTTTGCAAATGTATGATCTAAGGTCATGATGCTCGGTAGTTAGATATCTCCGAAATAAAACAATACCTCGTTACCTACACCAGTATTACCCTCGAAGGGTACTACCTTCAGAACTACCTATCAAACCAAGTACCTAGGTATACTAACCTCTCATTATGAACTTCGATGTTATGGGGACCTCGATGTGCAATGAAATCGACTAATAGCATCAGCTAATAGATTGCCTACATTTTGTATGGTAGGTAGCTAGGATCTGCAAATATGTACTAAATTGAATAAAAAAACTACTTAGCTGTAGGTATACTTCCGACCTGCTTCAGAAACAGATTAAGGTTCCCCTGTCCTATTTTATTTAGGTAGGTATAATTTGATTAATCAGCAATCAAAAATCAATCAGTGACTTATTTTGTCATTTCTCGAAAGCAACAAGGAGTTTTTATTCGCATATAGATAATTAATTGATAATTGATTTCCAATGTTCAACACCGCATTTTCATCCAACCGTTGAGGATTACTGGTAGGTATTGTGGTACTCGAGGTGGTACTGGTAGGTATTAGCAAATTAGGTAGGTATACCAATAGATTATTATTAAATAGGCTTATCAATAATTTATTCACGCTTTCCGATTTTTTTGCGGAATAATTCAAATAAATCGGAACTTTCCAGCCTCATTATTGCATTTCTGATTATAACTTCGTGTGATGCCATAGAGGTATGTGCGTAATGTTTATTGAGAATTGAGGTGTTTTCGTTCGGGACATTGATGTTCTTTCTCGAAAATCAAATTTCGATTCACACCAAAGTCGAGCCCAAAGTTTCACTTTCAGATTTCCTGAAGCATTCAGACAATGACTCAACATGATTCGAGGTTATTTTTTCTATGTTAGTATTAGGTATCTCGGTTATGATATGGTCGTGTAGACAAGAAATAAATTTACAAGAAAATTTCATTATTATTTCGTGAAGGTCATACCTACTTCTTGTATCTTGTATAAATGTACGCTTCAGAGCACGCTTCGTTACTCTCAATAGGAATACTCTCAATTCGGTCTCAACAAGGTTAAAAATCATTGATAGATAGGTAGGTATTTAGAATAAAAGCGAAAATACAAGTGTGCCCGTTGTTGGTAGAACACACAATACATAGGTACCTAGTTATGGTTTTACCCGGGTTTTACTTATTTCTCGTAAATAAGTCGTAAATTCAAAACAGAATGGACTTGAATGATGATATGTCAAAACGGAAGATAAATTATGGGAAGTGCATGGACGTATGAACAAAGGTCACTGAATTGATTTTGATAATAATTTTTTGGGACGACATCCATTGATAAGACATTCCAAAGTAAAAATGTCCTACAAAAGAAAAATAAATCGGAAAAACAGGTAGGTAGGTAGGTGGGCGAAGTTCAAATATGACTACATAATATGGATGTGAAACTTGAGCCTACCGTGTTCGTCGAAAATAAGCCAAGGATCCAGTTACAGAGAAGATTAGAATAGGTACCTACCCAGGATTTCATTTGATGTACACCAAACTTCATAATCAAAGTACCTAATCCAAGGAACTCCTGAAAATTCCAATAAAATCCTGAGAAAAGTCTGAAAAATTCCAAGGAATTCCAAACATTTCCAATAATAATTATTGATTCCAAGGAACTCCAACTCGAATTCCAGTTGTTCTCCTTTCAGAAACATAGATCAACTAATTATCATAGTTTGAATGAATATATCGGAATATATTGCCTATATAATCACATGAAATATACCTACCGATATATACGAATTCAGCAAAAGGGGCACGGTCTTTGGTGAGGTTATAATATATATCCAAAGTTTACAGATGAAACTTTAAACTCTTGGTAATGTAAAGAGTCACGTAAAGGACATTCGTTAGGCCAGGTCAGGTCTCTTTAGCAACAAAGCGTTCGTGAGAATACTAATTCCAAATTCGCTTGACTTCAAAATCCATAAGTTATCGATGTTTATTTCATAGAAACGAACACGACCGACTCAAGATCTCACGGAGTTTCAAGTAAGAAACCCTGCCAAATTTGAAACTGGGTTTCCATTTGAAAAAATGGACTTACAATAATTTTTTCAACCGGATCTATATCATTTTATGGTGAAAGCCCTGTATAACTGTAATCGAATTCATATCGAAATTCTACTAAACTGGGTCCTCTCCTACGAATAAATCGATACACAATCGAAAATAAGTGATCATGATCATGCAGTCCCCGGAGGGACACCCTGTATATTGGATAAAAAAACTTATAACCGAGGTTATATAAGTTAGTGTTTTAGATAGTAAACATTAAACACATGAACAGTAAAAATCCAATGAGAACTCATTACCCATTTATCAGTATCATAATAAACTCGTAATAAAACACATTTTATTTCTTCATAAACAGTAATAATTATTCATTTGGATAACAATGATTGGTAGGTACATTTTTATTGCAACGATTCATGCATGTGACTATTACTCTTAGACTGATGCGGGTTCTTGACCTTGTTAATTACAAAGGATTCTAACGAACCGCAGTTGTAATGAATCATGCCTACTTCATGCTGTACGATAAGAAACCTCGTTTCACTTCCTGATTCCTCCGGTCTGTGTTGCTACTGATAACTCGACTGATAAGTATTCGGTTTAGTATGAAAAATATTTTGATTCGATACAATAACATGCGAATAATATAGACAAGATTGCTAGACTGCGAGACTACAAAATGTTCTTATCAACATGGGTCCAAAAACAACCCCTCAAAGACGAGGGGTAAATCTCCAGGAAAAATGTTTACACCAGACTTCCAATGAACAAAGACTTCCAAAGACTCTCAAAGACTTCCAAAGACTTCCATTCCAAATACTTCCAAAGACATCCAAAGACTTCCAAAGACATCCAAAGACTTCCAAAGACATCCAAAGACTTCCAAAGACATCAAAAAACATCCAAAAACTTCCAAATACATCCAAAGAATTCCAAAGACTTCCAACGGAGTGTACACCAGACCA